TGTAATATCGTATTTATCTAAATAAAGCTAAGTGCCGGGGACCTAAGTGGTCACCTTAATATTAAAAAAAAAAAATAAAATAAAAGATCAAGCCAAAGAAATTAATACTAGTTTAATAGAGCAACCAGGCTTGCTACAAGCTTCGACCAATTTTTTTTTAAAAAACTTAAGTTTTTGAAAAATTTTGAAAAAATTTTTTATTTTTTAAAGATACCACTTTTACTCTATTCTGCAGATCAGCTTTATAGCAAAACAAATAGACGTAAATAAGAAGTAAACAAATAAACAAACTAATTTAATAAATTAGTAAGCTAACTAGATATTAAATCAACAATAACAAAACAACAAAAAAACATGTAGCAATATCAAACAAACAAACAAACATATAAAATGTTGGAACTTGTAGACTACAAAGACTTCTTTAATAAAACTGAAAAAGAAAGAAAAGAAATACAAGACAAGCAAAATAAAAATTTATATAAGGAAGACCAAAAAGTAGCAAAGTATTTAGGCACTAGCAAAGTATATTTAATTGCTATTATCCGAAATGTAATATGGCACTATGATTGGGCTCAATACAAGAATATGAGAAATCAAAATTTAGAAAAAAAAGAGAAAACTTTGCTAGAAGGATTGGACAACTCTTATATGAAAATAGATAATACAAATCACTATCCAGAAAACAACATTAACCACAAAAATAATTCAGAAACAATAGATTTCACAATTACTCAATTAGAGTCTCTTGATAATAGAGAAAATAATAATACAAAACTAAAGATAAAATGCAATAGAAAGACTAATTTAAACCAAGCCCCAATTGACAAAACTAAAAACAATATAAACCCTGATATCCTAGAAAATACTAATATTAAACTATTACTAATGGAAATCTCTCTTATACAAAGTGAAGAACCAACAAACAAAAACTATATAATGATGGAAACCAAAGATTCTAAGCCTCAATGCAAAAGGAGCTTCATTAACAAAGAAGGCTTTCCTGATCTTTCAGAAACCAAGTCAGATATAAACAAAAATATCTTAATCAGAAACAAAAGTGGAACCTAGACTATAGCTTAGAAGAAAAAATAAAATACAGCCTACAAGAAATTTCAGAAAAAAAAACAAAGCAGAGCCACAAAAAACCAAAACAATGTGAAAATATATACAACTCTATATAGGCTCCAAAAAGCAGTCTAACAGACCCAAAAAATATATATACACCACACTACTACTTCACTCTTTAGAATTTATCTCTAGACTTAAAAGCAGAAAAAATAAAGAATTACTTTAGCTACTATGGCATAGCAGCAATAATCAACTGGCAATACTTATTCAATTTGAAAATAGCTTATATTAGGATTTCTCCAAGTATAGAAACAAGAGTCAATCTTCTTAAAGTTTACTGGTTAGTCCCACTTGGCCAAGGCAAAACATATCGAACTATACCAGAAATATTTGATTTTAAAGAGCTTGAAGAAAGAAATAGATATAAAGCTACAATTCACAATGTGCTAAACTCAGCACTAGATAGTCTTCTACTTCGACAACTAAAAACTTATAAAGTTCAAGCAGTTCATATTCTAACTAATCACAATAAAAATCATTGTGAAAGAGCCCAACTATACTTCAAAACAGAAGAGGATTTAGCACAAGCCCTTAACTCAGAAATATACTACTTTAATACAAAACTACAGTGGCAATACACCCGACCAGTTAGAAGTACCAGAAAATCCTAAACCTATCTATCAAGCCCACAAGATAAAAACAACACCTAAAATAACAAAGAAAAGCAAAGAGCAGTTGAAACTGAATCTTATGAAAATCAAAGCCTCTTCTGAAAACCAAGATACAACAAGCATGCTTCTAGGAGAAAAGTTCTCTACAACTCTAATAAAGAGAACAAATCAATTAAAAAAAAAGCAAAACCTGCTTAAAAAAAAGCTTTAATCTAACAAAGAAGAAGAAAGCATTGCTGGTCCTTTGAATAACCTGAACCCAAACTTAGACAAAAACCTGTAGAATCTTTTGAATGAAATAAAAAACAAATTTATAGAGATAAAGTGGCAAATTGCTTAATATTTCTAAGTTTAGCCATAGTTGAATTACAAATAAAAGAGTTAGAAAATACCCTAAAATACAATGAACATTATCAAAAAAAAGATAAAACAACAATAGAGAAAAATTTTAAATATTTAAAAACAGGTTTTTATAATATTAATAGTCTAAAAGAAAACAAGACAAAACTCCAAGAATTAATTAACTTTGGAGCTAAAGAAAATTTGTATATTATAGGGATAACTAAAACAAATATTAATAAAAGAGAGGCAGATTTCATAGAAGTAAATTGGAAACAATATAGAGTATTTTGGACAAAGAATACAATAGATAAAAGAAAAGGTTCAGAAGTAGGGGTTCTAATTAGGAAAAAATAGCAAACACATCTGACTGAAGTAGTATCAAAAAACACTTATACACTAAAAATAGTACTTAGATTTAAGAAATTAATACTAGTATTATGGGTAGTATACTTCTCTCCAAATAACAAGCAAATACAAAAAACACTACAACAAGGCTTAATAGAAGATATTACTAGAAGTAGCTATAATACCAAAATAATAATTGGAGGAGACTTTAATGTGATAGTAGAACTAGAAGCTGCACCAAACCAAGCAACTATACTAGTATCTAAAGTCAAAACAGGCAACAAACTCTCTCTCTTAAAATGGGTTTAAAGAGTAAGATTTATCAAAGCTTACTTTCTAATAAACCTATATATATACAAGGTGACATGGTCCAATAATAAATATAGTTCAAAAATAGACCACATATAGTTAGACTCAGAAATTAAAGATCTAACAATAGATTGCAACATAGAAGATATGAATCTAGTCATAGGCAGTAACCACAATCTAATATAGACAAAAATACTACTAAGCTCTATACTTTACTTAAAGTCATATAGTGAATAACAAAAAGGTTACCTAAACTATCGAAAAAACTATCTATATGAAAAAATATCAGAGAAAATGTGGGAAGAATTCACAGCATTGCTAGAAAAGTACAGTGAGGAGGAACAAGGAAAAGCTAAAAAGAAAAATAAAGAAATACTTATCTTAGCAAATGAATACTTAATCAACAAAGGTTGGGAAAAGCTTGTAAAGTGCATAACTCTTGCAGCCAACAAAACAATCTTATTTAAGAAGATTAAAACACGACAGAAGAAAAACAAAAACAAATTATCTGGAATCCAAGATACAAATAGATCAAACAGCTTAGAAGTATACATCAGCAAAAATATAGATACAAAATTTCGAAAGTTATTGCATACAAAAAAATTGCAAAAGAATTGTGATTGACATGATGGATTGTGAAATTTTAAAAATTGCAAAATAGCACAAAATATTTTGAAAAAATGCGAAAAATATTGCGAAATTTTTGCAAATATAAATACATTAAAAACACATATATAAAATAAAAATTTAAAAAATATTTTGCAATCTTTCACAATATTTCAAAAACTTTCGAATATTTTTGAATATTTTGCAAAATTTCGCAAAATTTCACATTTTGCGAAATTTTTTGAAATATTGCAAAATATTGCAAAATTTTTTGAAATATTGTGAAATATTGCGAAATATTCAAAATCATGTAAAATTAATATATAAAATAAAATATAATGAATAATTTTGAAATTTTCAAATAATTTTAAAATATTTTTTGAAATTTAAATACACATATTAAAAACATTTACGATAGATTATGAAATTCGATCTAATTTATTTTTTCTAAATTTTTTAATAAATGTAAATATTTCTAAATATTTTTAAAAATTATAGTATATATTTAATGTGGCAAATTAAAATGAGATCAGATTAAAATGAAATTTTTCTATTTTTTTAGGAAAATTTAAAATTTTTTGTGGGACATTTTTTAGGGTTAGGGTTAGTGTTAGAGTTAGGGTTTAGAGTGAGTTTTATTAATAAAAGAGTATAAGTGGGTTTTATAAGCTTTAAAGATGAGCAAGAAAGGTCCCCAGTTTCATTTTAATCCAATTTCATTATGTTCTGCTATATTTAATACAATAAAATATATTTAACTTTATTTAAAATATATATTTAATTAACAAATAAAATTAAAATTATTGATTTATAAAATAAAAGGAAAAAAAAGTAATATTATTCAAATATAATAAAAAAAACAAAAAAATTAAAAGGTTTACGGTTATTCCTAATCTTCTTTGAAAGTATCTTCTTCAGAAGTATCTTCTTTGGAGATATATTCTTCTTCTTCTAAATTATTTTAATCTTCATCAGAAGTCTCTTCATTATTCTCTGGTTTTTGCTTATCAGAACTTACCTTAGTTACTTCTGGGACATCTTGATTTCTTTCAGAAGTTTTGCCACTTTCTTCAGGTTTTTCTAAATTTTTGTGGCTTTCTTTAAGTTCTTCTAAAATATTTTAAATATATTCGAATATTCTAAAGACATAGATTATCTTAATTAATATTATATAAATATTTAAAATTACTTACCTTCTTTTGGTTTTTTTCTTGCCTAAAATTTATTTAATATTAGATTTTTCAAAATAATTAAAAATTTTTAATATATACATACTTTTTCAGTATACTTCAAAGGCCTTTTAAGTTTGCTATGCTTATTCTAAATATTTTAAATAGAGTTAATAAATAATAATAATAATAATTAATATATTTAAATTTTTACTTGATCTAAACTAGATTTTTTAGCTTTTTTACTATTTTCTAAGCTAGAAGAATCACTGTTGAAATTAGGTAGAGTAAATGTTTCATTTCTTTCTAAATACCACTATAATTTGAATATATTCACATTATTTTGTTAATATTTTAAATTTTTAGAAAAAATAATAATAAAGACTTACTAGATTTCTTTCAACTCTTTGTTGTATAATTTTTTTACTAATTGCTAAAGTCTTGATATTAGGATTAAGCATAGTTTGGCATACTGCAATTGTATATGTAGCATTTTCATTTGAAGCACCACCAGTTGGCCAGATTCTTTCTAAAATTTGAGTTATATAAGTATCTTCAGAACCTTCCTTAATATTCTTAAAAAGCTTCTCATAATATTTTTTTGTTTTTGCTAATTTTTTCTAATTTAAAACTTCTTCAGAAGTTGATTTGTTATTAATACATTCTAAAAGATCTCTAAAAATAAAATATATAGCATTTTTAATTTTAGTATTTAAAGTATTTTGCAAATATCTAACTTTTTCTAAAAGCTTTAAAAATATTATTATTAGTATTAGTATAAAATTTGAATTATTTTGCAATATTTAAAAAATATTCGAAATATTTTAAAAATTTAAATTTTCAAAATATTTTGAATATTTTTTAAATATTGCAAAATATTTAAAATAAACCAAATTTTTACTGGAATACTCAAGTTCTTTGTATAATAAATTTTTAACTGGTTTTCGATATTTTATTTATAAAATCAGCATTATTTATTCTCAGATATGTCTCTACTGCTGATAATAGTTCTTTTTTATTTGGATAAATTGAATATTCTAATAAGGCTTTAGCAGCCTCCTTTACCGTTTGCTATTATTTGAATAATATTAGAAAATTTTTAAATTAATTTAAAGAAATAAAAATTTACTTCTATAAAAGCCTTTTTATTCATAGTATTATATTTGTCTACTAATTTTTCTTCAAATTCTCTTAAACGATTCTCTAATCTAGTAAATTGTGAATGTAGTTGTCTAATTTTGAATATCAACTCTCTTTGATTTTCCAACAGTTTAGCTACAGTGCTTTGAGATACTTTAAAAAAAAGTAAATTATTATAAATATTATAAAAATAAATGAAAAATATTTAATATATTTAAAAACCTTCGAGATTTTTTGTCTTTGCTAACTGATAGCTAGTATATCTTTCAATTTGTAACTTATTAAATCATTCTTGAAAACTTTTACTAACAACTAATTTTCCTTTAGACTCTTCTCTTAGGTTTTTTTTTAGTCTTCTTGCCTTTATCTGCTTTGTTTTGCTTCTTTGTAACTTTCTTGGAGCTAAGATTCATACCTTTAAACATTTTTAAAAACTTTTGAATAATTTTGAATAATTTTAAATATTTTAGACTATAGTTAAATTATTTTAATTTTCTTAAGATATTATTAATAATAATTTGATAATAGCTACCTAATATAAAAAAAATATAAAAAAAACTAAAAAAAAAGTTAGCTTATAATAAACGTAAAGAAAAGAGATTTAAAAAATTAAAGTATTTTTAGTATATATAATAGTATAAAAATGATAAAACCAAATAACTTTTTATAGTTAAATAAAAATATACTTAATATTTTAGTATATGGTAAAAAAACTTTTTAAACTTTTTTAAGATTTGCGAATATTTGCGAATTTTTGCAAAGTATTCTAAGTGTGTTTATGTTGATTGTTATTCTAATAATTTCTTTTTATATTAAAAATATTTGTAACACAAATTAAAAAATTTAGATTATATATACATATTTATAATTTTATTATTTATTTCTTTTGTTTTTAATTTACTTGAATATTTCAAATATATAAATATTATATCTTTAATATCTTTAGCATAACTAAGTTATTTTAAATTTTCTCAAGAACTTTAAATTTTTTAAATTCTTTACATAATTTTAAACAATTTAAAATATTTTTAATTTTTTATATCAGATTATAGATTTTTAGAATTATTTGCAATATTGTGATACATTTTGCTTATAGCTTGGCAATAATGTCTGCAGCATCCAGAGACTTATTAATAAGTATTTACAAACATGACATCTAAAAGAATTTTGAATATTTTAAATAAAAATTATATTTTAAGTTATAATGAAACTTCAAAGTTTTAAATAATTTTTAAAATTTCTAATTTACTTTATATAATTTCGAACTATTTAAAATATTTTATTTTTAATATTTTTAGCATTATTTGCAATATTGTGAATATTATTTGCATATTACTTGGCAATAATATTTGTAGTATTCAGGGACTTATTAATAAATATTTTAAACATGATATCATAAAGAATTTTTTTATTAAAAAAATTAAATATAATAGATTCTAGAAATTATAAATATAAA